AAAATAAAAATTATTTCTTATTAAAATTATAAATTTTTATATAGAGAAAAAATTTCAATTTTCACTATATTTTATTAGTAAATTTAGCCTTTGAGTTATTAATTTGGTCATCACTATATATTATTTAAAGTAAAATCTATTTTACTATTGAATAAATTATTAATTTTAATATAATTATCTTTTAATAAGCTATTAAAAAAGAATTAAAAAAGAATATAGTTAATAAATAATAAAAATATAATAAAAGAATATTATATATAAAATTAATCTTAGAATAAATTTATTTAAATTTAAGAAATTTAATAAATAAAAATTACTTATTAATATAAAAAAATATTTTTATAATTATTATATTATATTAATTAAATATACTTGAATTTTATTTTCAATTATAAAAACAAGATAAAGAATATTTAGTAATAAATAAAAATTAAATAAAGTTCTCTTATTAATTAAGAAATATATTATATTAATTATATAAGTATTTTAATATTATTAAATATTAAGAAATATATTATATTAATTATAAGTATTTTAATATTATTAAATATTAAAATTTATTTTTAAATAAATTTTTTAATTATAAAAAAATATATAATAATCAAGATTACTTCTTATTCTTAAATTAGTTCAAAAATATTATTCAAATATTTTATATAATTAAATTATTAATAATTTTTTGTCTAAATTATTCAAATTATTCAAGAATTAATTCTAATAATAATATATAAAAATGAAAATATAGAACAGATTTCATCAATATTAAAATTTAATAATAAAGAAATAATTCTTGTAATATATAATAAATATATATTTTATTTTAATTATAAAAAATAAGAAATGTAAATAAAGTCAGGAAAACTATTATTATATAAAAAAGAAAATAAATATTTAATCGTGATTGTGAATTTTTATCAGAAAAATATAATTAGTATAAATTAAATCCTTAATAAATTCAAGCAATTCCTTCTGTATCTGAAGAAGCATATGTTTATCTTAATTAGATAGAAATTAAAAAGAATATTGGACAAATAAATATTTAATAAATCAAGTTTAACCAAAAGCTATTCCAATTTTTGAAATACTCTTTTCAAATTGTATTGAATTATTTGCATTTAATAATAACTTAAACCATGTGATATTTAAACCTAATACTCTTATAGTCGGTAAAATATAAAACCTAGCCAAAGATGAGAGATACAATTTTTGAATCAAATAATTAATATCAATTAATGGTAAATAATAATGGTAAATCAAAAGAAATGAAACAAATATTAATTGAATATGACTAGAGCAATTACGTAAAGATAAAAATACATGATATAACTCAAACAAATAGTTGTGCATGTCAAATTATCTCATTTTATACTTTTTTTGTCACATTTCAATATTGTTCAATAAAATTTAGTTCACAATAGTACTTCAGATAAAAAATAACTTTATGACCAGCTTCTAATGTTACTTTCTCTAATGCATTTTTTGCACCAAAAGATCAGGCTATATGTGAAAATTGTGATTATTCATGGTTGGATTTGCAACGTATTGTTCCTGAAAGTTTAATACATTTATAATAAGATTTGTCTGAAAGGCATGGCGTTATATGGATTTATATAGAAAAGGAATTACTGATAAATTGGTAGAATATGCAACAAAAAATATATCTCATCATCAAAATTCCTGGCAGAATTAAATAATTTTTATTTATATTACGAAAAAATAGTTATATTTAAATCACGTGAAATCTTATTAAAAATTTTGATTTAATTAGTGACTTTATACGGCAATAAATGATTAATTATGCACATAAATTTTATTAATTATGTGCCAATTCTACATTAAAAAATTATGATTATTCTTTTAAAATTAATGTGAAGGATTTGGACAATCACGATCATTATCTAAAAGAGAATTATACATATTAATACATGGTATTTTCTTATTAAAAACATTTCGGTTAGGATTTAGGTTAGGATTGAAGATTATGCAAATCAATAGTAAAATTTCGCAAGAAACATTTTTTTGTTAGAGCACAGAAAGTAGTAGTTTCATAGGCAAAATTTCGAAGTAAACGTTCGATTTAAATTTTTTTTTTATGCAGTATTATGTGATGAATCTCTGATTTTTAGTATAAAAAGTTTTAAAATAAAATAAAGTAATTTGCCACACAGAATACGATATTCTACTAGCTTTGAGTACGTTGTCTAGGGAATACAACACTAGGGAGGAGGTTATTCTATATGCAATTACGGTATTTTATTATTAATAAAAATAAATTTCAACTTACTAGACTAAGTTTTTATGAAACAATTTTTTTTCTGCCCAATGAAACCGTCTCTTTATTTAACAACGACAAGACAAAACAAAACAAATTAAAAACATATAAATTACCTAACACAAAAAATTAATTCTATTAACATTAAAATTCCGCATTTGCTTGATGGAGTTGTTGCTGTCTCGTCTTTCTCCACCACACCCACATTTCAACATCCAATCTCAACCGCACACGTTCAATAGTTCCATACAGAACATGACTGTCTCTTTCCACTTCCCCGAATCCAAACGAGCTGAACAATTCAAGTGCGGAATTCCACCAAGTCCACAATTCAACTTCTATTCGTTTTCCACCTCGTCTATTCACGAATTTCACAGCATGCTCTATCATCGCCGTTGCAATTCCTCGTCGTCGATACTCGTTCAATACGCAAAGATATGTAATAACAGGTGTTTTATCGATTATACAACAACAGGTGCTAGAGGTGGAAGATGAAGAGGGGGGACATGTCGTTAGACCCAGGAACGCAATAACTTTGTTTCCGGCATCTTTATCCACAACCACCCAAAATCTCGATAATTTCTCGTTATTGCACTGTTCAATAAACTGTCCTTGTTCATTATACAAAAGATCATTATTATACAATTCAACATTTCCAATGGATTCCGAATTTATTTCTCTTCCAAAGAACCCAAAGAATTTCTTTGACTTTTTTATACTAGTGGTCGATATTCTTCCTCCATAAACTTCTTCAATATTCATTAACCCTTTCTGAATAGAACGTCTCGTTTCATAAGTAATATATCCAGAGACAGCACGTTGCAAATTCACATAAAGAAACAAACCCCATGCCAGAAATATAGTCAAATGCAACGTAATGGGTGCTGCTTCATGATTCTTTATTGTTAGGTAAGTTATAGAGATCCAGAGGATTATCAAATATCGGTGTTGAAGTAGGGAATGCAGTCCATATTCGACATTACTTAAAAAGAATAATAAAAAAGTTAGTATAATGTTTTATGGCTGAAGCTTGACTCAGTTGTGTACTTACTCCAGCATGGAATTCGCAAAAATTCGATGCACTTCTTCATAATCTTTGTTCTCAAATTCCCTAATTCGTATATTTTTAGGCAGCAAAGTTGACACATAACGTGGTTTACGTTGTTTGCACCCACTTCGCCTACTACTTGTTAGTTGTTCACTGTCATCCGTAGTGTTAGTGTTATCACTGCTATAAATGCTATTATCAGAAGAAATTATAGTTTCTTGTTCCATTATATGCTGTTAATTTTAATTATGAAATTATCGTAACCGTAAAATTCATATAAATTACATAGTAAAATATGGGTGAAAGAAGACAAATGAAATCGAGAATATATATATATATATATTTTTATCTATTAATTTAGATGAGATAAAAAGCTTAATCTTTCTTTTCGGGTAACAAGTAAACAACAAGTGGACGTGACGAATTATTATTGCTATTTATTATAATTAGGCAATTGGTTATGCAGTGGTAGTACTATGTATTTGATGTTTCTTTTCTCCCCTTCAATGATCTTTGTATAAATGAGAGTGTAAACAAAAAAGCGTCAAGTGCTACTTGAACTTGTATCCCCCGTCGATTTCGTGTTCTATATGTACAATCATTGATATGTATCACAAAAGGAAGGAGTGCTGAGATTTCGAAAAACCGCCAGCATGAAATGTCTAAATACGTAGTTTTTGTAATCAATAGTTGACGGAATCAAATTCGGCGTAAAATAAAGTAATCAATGTATTTAGAGTACAAAAGTGACTATCAGATGCGCACAAATTCCGGATTTCAAACAAGCTTAAATCGATAAAAGTTCGTCTTGCGTTTAAAAAGAAAACATACATGTGAGTATATCGTGCACCTCAAATGAAGAAAATCGAAATAATAGTTTTTTATAAACATATGCCGTCATCACTCACCCCTAATTAAAAAAAACACAATTATATAAAAGCGTTATCATATTTTGTATAATATATATATATGCTACATATCGATATATACTATCATTTATTGACAACATAACTCGGTGCAACCAAAAATGTATAAACTACACTCTCATGCCTCATCATCAAACCAATGACTTTTCTGCTCAATCGAGCTCTTCGTTCCTTCGCTCGCATGCCTAACACAATAATATCCCTCAAATCATCTACCAATAATCGATTTAAATTAAAGAAATTATGTCGGATCTTGTGAATATTCACGTCTAGTTGTGTTGTATCTATCAAATCGACATCCAATAGTTCATTCTCAAAAATTAGATCACTGGTATGTCGGCCAAGTGAAGGCGCGTCATCAAGATATTCACAGACTTTAAGAGCAAAATCTCGCGCATTAGCATAAACTGTTATGTGTGCACAGTGTTTTGAAAGCGTAGAGTAGTGCTGATAAAATTTGTAGAGTTCCACGTCGGGATTTAGAAATGTTATCGTCGATATTTTCATTAGTGTCGTTTTTGATGTAGCAAAAGCTGATGAAGCAGCTTTTGTGGAAAGGGAAGGTGACACAAAAGTTTGATCATGGCTAATCAAAATACTGTCAAATATTGAACTGTACTCAAGTATTAACGCGCACCCCAAAGAATGTCCTATTAAATGTATTACCCGAAATCCAGAATTATTAAGCTCATTGAGAAATGTCTTGAAATCTAGAAAAATATTAATTATCATAAATGAAATTTTTATAAAATAAATCCGAATCTTTTCTTTTAGTCACCATTAACAACTTCAGTAGACATTGCTTGTTTCTTCGCTTTCCAATACCAAAAAGCATTCGATCCAGCCGGGGAGAAAACAAATGATTTGATATAACTAGGTAGATCTGCAAGTGCAAGAAATTGTCCGAAAGTTTCCATAGCAAATTTCGATGGACAATTAAAACCGTGAATAAAAATTATGCATTCCTATTTAAAGCAAGGAATTCTAAGTACTCAAATATCTATCGTATGCAAATTAAAAAGAGTAAATTCTTACTTGGCAAATCGTTGCTAAATTGCTATTTGAAGCACGCCACCCGTTAATCTCAAGTCCATATTCAATTTTATTATTTTGACTGGTAACAGCTCGTCGTATAACAATTTGATCTTGTTCGACTGTTTCTTCATCAGGACAAAATCCAGAAATCACAAATTTCCCATTTACAAGTTCAACAGGAATCGACGCCTGTGGTAACATTATCTCCGAGTTCATTTCTTCGGCAAATGTCTTCAACTGACCCTGACAATACAAAATCGGTGATCTTTTATAATAAGCCATACTTTCAATATCTTCTTGGTGGAGAGAGTCGCGTTGTGTTATCTGCGAGATTATAGTTGCTCTTGGAAGATGTTTTAGGTATTTACCCGACACTGAACATTCTACAGATGCAACGCCAAAATCTAGACTAGGGCGATAAATTTTGGGAAATATTCGCCATTCGTCCCACCCTATATTACTATTCTTGACAAAACCAACTCGAACAGAAAAGAAAGCGTCACCACTTCCTGATGTTCTTGATTGGAATGGACCAATCGGTTCTCCGCGTTCCCAAATACCTTTATAATATTACATATATGAAGATATTGGCGAATTTATAGAAAATCAATCTTTTAAACTACACGAACCTTTCAAACATTCACCATCAAAAGAATCATCCACCCATTCGCCTCGACCATGTGGTCTTCCTTGCGCATCAACTTCCCCCGCATATGTCACCATTCCCCATCGAAACCAATACGTATAACTCTCCCACGCAATATACCGAAAACAGCCAACCGCGTCACCTTTAATCTCTTCTATATCCGTGATAATTTGCTCCAGTCGCCACCACCAAATTGTATTCAACCATTTTGCGTCTTTCACTATTCGTGGATACGCGAATCTAATGAATGCCCAGATTAGTAGAGTTAATGCTTCGACGCCGGCAAGAGATAGCAAGACAATGTATTCTTGATTGGTTGATGCGAATCCGGCGTCCGTCTTTGAGATTGGTGAGCCGTGATTCATAATCAGTAGAATTACGGTTGCGATTGCTATCCTAGGAAGATTGTCGAGGAAAACATTTAATTAAAATTTAAACTATTTGATTTAAGGAATACATACCAGTAAAAACACCATTGAACAATTTCAGTGATCTTCAAATATGAAAAACAAATAGTTAACACAATTCAAATATTTAGAAATTTCAAATAAAAATCTTCCCTACTTTATAATAAGCATACATCAGAATTGCAAAAATCACCGATATAAAAAAAAATTCTGGCCAATTTTCCCAAGTGACCACATTTTCTATGAACAAATTTTCGATTTTCGTCAATTGATCTAATTATAATTCATTGACTAACTTTACTTACCTATCCAACCACCAATGCCAGCACCCATCAACGACAAGAACAACAACATAAACATAATCAACCAGAATGCACGAATCCACGATCGACGTTTATAGCGGCCGTATACTTGTCGCTCACATTTCCGGAATGCCATTATGCGAAATGTCGTGCTGATCTCTTCAGGTGTTAGTATTCGTTTGGTGGAATTCTGTATATTAATGGTAACGGTTGCATTTTCGCGTGAATTCGGGGATGTATCTTTAAGTTTAGAATTTGATTCGGTTGGATGAGTTTCAAGTTGGGTAGTGTATGGAATTGGATTTGACGAAGATGGTTGTGCTCTTTGGCTATTTCCTCCATTATTAGTACAACTTGGATTGCTCTCGTTACTGTATCCATTATGTACATGTATATTGCTTTTAATATCATGAATCTTATTTTTCTCACATCCATTATTATTATTCTTAATTGTGTCCATATGCAATTAATTCTTTTTTATTACTTTAATTTTATCCGCAGAAAACCAAAAGATGAAAAACAAGACGATTATAAAAGTTTAAATATATTTTTTGATTAACTATGGCCGAATGAATATAAGTGACATATTAAATGATAAATTTGATTGGTGTTAATAATAGTATTTAGAAATCGTGGTTCAAGAAAAAATATTGTGCGATTTATCCATTATAAATTTGGTTAAAACGCGTAAATTAGCCAAGCTTTTTCGGTCTTTTAACGCGCGTATTTTAAACACGTTTTAATATAATCGTTATTTCCCTAAAAATCAGTTGCATAATAATCTACATTACATATTGATATACAGTACATATATGTACATATCAACAATCGGTCATAAGGAATAAAAATTTCCATATATGATTTTAAACCACTTATATAGTCCAGAAAACTTCATAGATTATATTTATTTAGCAATATTAACAAAGACAATGTACTATTAATCACACTACATATTATTCTTGATAAACTTTAATTGTGGAATATCGTAATATAGTTGCAAAGATTCCGGATTAGATAATGTCCCGGACGGAATATATTTTTCGCCAGAGATTATACGTTTCACTGCAATCTCCACTTTCTTCCCGGTTATGGTATACTAAATTGATTGATCATTAATTATCGTTATGGAAAAGATAACAGCCAGCCAGAAGAAGAAAAAAACCAAACACTTACCGGAATCTCTTTAATTGGCAAAATAAAAGCAGGTACATGTCTAGGACTCAACTGCAATCTAACCTTTGTCTTTATCTCGTCCACAAGTTTTTTATCCAATTCATTCTGAGAAGATAAAGACGACGGTGCCATTTTGAGAAATAACACTACCCGTTCATCGTTGCCAATTTTTTGGCCTACTACAAGGCTATCTTGGACTTGAGGGAAACTCTCAACTATGTTGTAGATTTCTGCACTTCCAAATCGAACTCCACCCGGATTAAGTGTTCCATCTGATCGGCCGAGCATCACTAAACCGCCAGTATTAGGATTTATCCATAGAAAATCTCCGTGGTACCACACTGATGAGTAATTGTCGAAATAAGCGGCTCGGTATTTGTGGTTGTCTGGATCATTCCAAAAAAAGACGGGCATACATGGGAAAGGACGAGTGCATACTAGATCACCGGGTTTAGCCAAAACAGGATTATCTAGTAGCAATCAATCACAATAGTAAATAAGTAGATTATAATCTTTCTATTGCAAAAAAAAACAATAGTAATACCCTGGCCGTCCCAAGCTTCAATTTTCATGCCCAAACATACACTCTGAATCTCGCCTCGATAAACAGGAAGAGCCGCATTAACTCCAGCAAATAAAGAACATAGATCCGTTCCACCTATAAATAAATATTCAAAAAAAAATGAAGTTAAAATCAGATGTCTTTTGATTAAAAACCAATCTTTTCATACCTGTTATCGAACTCAACATAACATCTTTCTTTATTGAATCATAAACGAAATCATAACTTTCGGGTTTCAATGGCGATCCGGTAGATAAAAGCACACGAATACTCGATAAATTATGATGTCGATATGGCTGATAATTTAAGTCTTGAAGGTTTTGGATATATTTTGCTGAAACGCCAAAAACTGTGATTCTTTATAAGAATACAAAATCGAAGATCACATCTCAACATAAACATTCAAAGATAATTATGAATAATTAAGCTTCAACTCGAAAGAAAAACTGACCCAAACTCATCAGCTAATTCCCATAGGATAGAAGGACTAGGACTGGATGGGGAACCATCATACAACACTATTGTACATCCAATTGATAAGCCTGCCACTAACCAATTCCACATCATCCATCCAGTTGTTGTATAATAAAAGAATACAGAATTTGCCGTCATATCACCATGTAAAATATGCTCTTTTTTATGTTGAAGCAATACTCCTCCAGCACGGTGTACCAGACATTTAGGTTTTCCCGTGGTGCCCGATGAAAAAAGTATATAAATAGGATGATCAAATGGCAATTGTTCAAAAACTAATGGCTCAGATGGATCAGCAGTTTCAATGAAAGAGATCCATGAAATTGCATTAGGAATTTCCGATAATGATAATTCGTTTGAAGATGTGGACAATGGATCATTAAAAGGTATAATGACCACCTTCTCAAGTCCTTCAGTAATAAGTTGCTCAACTACAGATTTAAGTTTCAAAGTATGATCATGCAACTTTCCATTATAAATTAAGGCGTTGACGGAAAATAATATCTTCGGCTTGATTTGCAACAATCTGTCGAGTATACCAACAACACCAAAATCAGGAGAAGTGCTCGCCCAAATACAGCCAATACTAGCAGATGCAAGCATCGCTATTACTGCTTCTTCGCAATTTGTTATATAGGCAGCAGCCCTATCACCTTTTCGCAATCCTGCCTTTCGCATTGCTGATGCGACAAGACGTACTTGATCAAACAATTGAGCGTATGTTGTCTTCTTAATTCGGCGTCCTTCTCCTAGAAGATTCTTTAAACTTTAGGATCTATCTGAATGAATTAAAAGAACAAACTGAATTACCAGTAGAAATTAGGGCAATTTTATTTGGATCGCGACACCAAAGCAAATTTTCGGCGAAATTTAGTTTCGCCCCGAGAAACCATCCCGGAATCTGGTCCATTGGTTTAGATTCTACTATCTGTCAAAAAATCAAATAAAAAATATCATTCCGTTTTATATTTAAAGACAAATCTCGTTGTAGTATCAATTCAATTAGCTTTCTTCTTTCCTGAACGTATGGTGAAGAATATATAGTATTGGTGTAATGCCAAATCGTTTCCCAAAACTCGGAAATATTATCTGTAGACCATTGCTGCAACATTTTGTAGTTTCCTGAATTTAAAAAAATTTTATTCGACAATTTAGAACCTTTTGTTGAAAATTTTTCCAAGAACTCTCTAAGTGGATAGGAGTATAAACCTATTTTGAGTTTATATTTCGTGTTAATTTCGCGTCGAAACTTGTCCATGGCCGTTTCAGAAACATTTTTGGGTTTCCAGAGTAGCTGAGGATCCAACGGTAAGTTGTTAGACATTTTTTAATAGTGATTGGGGGAAAATTCTACTACAGTTGGATGTAGATCTTCCCCACCGTAACCACCAAAAAAAATTCGAACATGTGACTTATTTATCATGTGGCTAATTTTCACGTCCATTGATTTTTTGAATGCAATAATGATATATTGTATAACGCAACGACATTGTTAATTATCAACAAACGGAAGTTTGTAATTTGCTTTTCATGGTGCTGAAACCTATTAACTACTCGTTATTACAATAAACTATCCTTCCCCTCCCACCAATACACTTGCTAACAAAATAGACTAACTATTGACTAATCAATGAGTTCTGCAGTGACTGGTTAGATTTTGGGATTGATGGAATACCCTCTCTTGTACCCATTACTTGCGTGAGACAGTATCCATCAACCCTCGTTATAAAACTAAAGCTGGCCAAAGAATAAGATTTTCTCAATTCCTCCCAAACATGTATTATTTCTGCTAGACTTACATCTCATTAAAACTATTAATTTCTTTAATAATGATCACACTATATCACAAAAGTTCTGATATTCACATTACTATTAATAATTTTTTTGTATCAATATCAATTTGCAATCTCTTTTTTACATTGACTTTTTTTATAAATGGACTTCTTCTTATTATAATAGTTGCAGAAACTTCAAAACTTTAACTAAGTTTATAAATATAATGCTAAAAATAATTTCAAACTTATAATAATTATCATCAAAAAGTTACTGAAGAATAGAAGAGAGCTCTAAAAGTAGACAAAAGTTAACTTGATAATCAATTAGAAATTATTGATATAGATTTTTTAAGTGATAGAATTAAAAATTTGAAGAATATATTATTAAATAGTTTGAAATTTCATTTTCATTATGAAATAAATAATAATTTAACTAAGAAAATTATGAATAAAATTATTAAATTGATTAAAAATATAGATATCATATTCTGCTAATTATAAATTATTAGTTTTTTGATCAAAATTTGGATTTTGTGTTGGAGAAAATTACTCATAACTGGTAGTTTTTGATATTTTTTTTAAAAAATTTGAATTTTTAATAGCAATTCTAATAAAATTATGTTTTTTACAATTAAATAACAATTATATTCTTATTCTGACTTTTATAATACTGATAGCTAACTCAGTAAGACAAGAAAAATTAATAAATAATTAATTTAATAATTTATAAAATATATAATTAATATTTATATTATATTTTAAATTTTATATTCAAATTTATACTTCACAAAAAATATTATATCTTTAATAAAATTTATAAAAAGAATAATTCAAAGCTTATATATAACTTAACAAAAATTAGATATAATATCTTTTACAAAAAGAATTAGTAATAATTAAGCAGCTTAAAAATTAAATCTTAATATTTTTAGATATTATAATAAATAAAATAAAAGAATATTCTCAAAGTTGCAAAATTAAGTATCTGAAAAATTAGTATTGGTAATTATACTTATTATTTTAATATTAAAATTACTTTAAAAAAGTGAATCTTAAATCTATAAAAAAATAATATCAATATTACTAATAATATTATAAAAAATAAATAAAATTATTATTTTAAATAGAGATTTATGAATATTATTTAGATACTTTTGAATAATTTTTTATATCTAATTATTAGTTTTATAAATTTTTAAACTATCATAATCTTTTTTTTATTATTATATAAAAATATCTTAGAAACTTTTAGTAGATTTAATTAAAAGATTATTTTATTTTATTAATATATTATTAAGTAATAAAAAAAAATATAATTATAACTTAAGTTAAATTAAAAATATAAATAAAATATTATTATTTTTTAATATAATAAAAAATATAATAATTAATATTTTAAATATTAATATTATTTATTTTTGAATAATAAAGATTTAAATATATTATTATATTATTTATATTAATCTTGTTCTAATTATAATTATTAATTTATTTTTATTTAACTAATAAATATATATTTTTATTAATAATAAAATTTTGCTTAAAAGATTTATATTATTTTTTATAAAATTTTTAATATTTTAAATTATAGATATATTTATTGATTTTTATATAAAATTCTATAATAAAGAATTAATTTAGTTATTTATATAATTTTATTATTTATAAAGTGTAAGATTATTTTGTTAATGGTTATAAATAAGATAAAATGTGATATAAATAAGTTTTAATTTTATAACTTATGATTATTTTTATTATTTAA